TAGGGTAGATAAGAACGAAGGGGTGGGATTACTTATATCCCCATGGTCTGTAGTATACGTCACTAGAAAGTTTTTTTCTTACTTGCAAAGAGTTTGTTAATTTGTAAAGGTCTCCATAAATTTAACTCATGATTATTCTTATGTCTGAGATGTTTTTAAGGCTAAGTATGTTTTGGTGATGTTTGAGTTGTTTTAAGATGTCTGTGTTTGGCCCTGTGTTTATTGACAGTGAACCCGTCATCACCGTGCATCATGCCTCGTGCTTGGTTGCTTCAAGTTCTACGTTAAGAGAGGATGAGAAGTTCGTAGGGACAGACCCTTCTTTGGATAAAAAGAATTCTTCTAAGGTTCTGTTAATCCCCCAAGAGGCAGTGCTGCCCAGTGAAAAGGTTCGTATTTAGCCTGGCATCTCACCAGCCTGCTTGTAATTCTTCCATCCCACCATTGCTACTTTTGTTTACTTTTGGCCATTCCCAGTTTTTAAATCATAGGGCTTTACAGTTTCTTCTAAGGAGCCCTGGGGGTGCTGTGATTTAGGCATTGGTTCTCCTTGGGAGAAAAATGAGATTGCCTATTCCTATGAAGTTGAAAGTCTCAGGAGACCTATCCATATGGGCCACCACAGCCATCATTTTGTTTTAAGCTTCCTTTTACACAATCTCATTTTTTTCTTTCAAGAATAATTGTGTGAAGGGCCTTCAAAAAGTTGGTGGAGAAAAGAAATTGAAAGAGAATTGGATTTTTCCACAAACTTTTTGAGAACCCCTCCTATTGCCTTTATGGCAACTGGATGTGCGCTCATTGTAAAAACAAACTATAGAAATGTACACCAGGAAAATATCACCTTGCAAACGGTGCCCGCCCCCCTTCCTTTAAGCCCTCCCACACTGGCAGTACCACAGAGTTTCCACAGAGCCACAGCTAATAGCTCACTGGAAGACCTCTCTCTGTGCACAAGTAGCCATGTTGATGAATGTATAATATCTGATGTAAATAGGGACATATTTTATGAGACACCGTACATTCATGATTCATGGCAAATTCCATTGTCTTTCCCCTGTGAGAAAGCTAGTGAAGGCTCTAGGACAGCGGTTCTCCGCCTTCCTCGCGCTGTGACCCTCATGTTGCGGTGACCCCCAACCATAACATTATTTTCGCTTCTACTTCGTCACTGTCATTTTGCTACTGTGGTGTATCGGGGCCCCGTGAAAGGGTCATTCGACCCCCAAAGGGGTTGGAACCCACAGGTTGAGAACCGCTGCTCTAGAACATTTTAGAGAATCAAACTTAGGCCTGCCTGACTCCTACCATCTCACAACATCGGCTTCCAGCAGGTGATGGTGAAAAGATTCCAAAACTTTCTCAAGGAAGGGTACGTGTTGCTTAGTTAAAAGGCTTCTTGCATAAAATCTTTTCCCCTTCTTCCTCTTTGTAATAAGACACATTAAAAACGGGCTTATCAACCCATAATAAATGAGGAACAGGAGTAAGGAGATAGAACAAATTTAAATTTTCAACAAGCTTCATGTGTACAGTATGTTTTGTTTTTGTTTTTTCACATTAAGAAACCAAAGGAAGGACAATGTAGGACACAAGACCCCCAGGGCAGCGCAGATTCTTTGAACTGCCAGCTTCTGTTTCCAAAGGACCTTGCTGGCACTGTGCTTCTTTAGGCCCCAGAGTCCCTGGGTCAGATGCTCAGGCAGGGCCCACCCCTCTGCTTTCACAAGTCCTCCCAGTGATTCCAGTGTGCACCCCCCATCCCCCACCCCTCAACTCAGAGCAAAAGAAGGCCTGACCTCCACTCAAAACACCTGGCCATGGTGTCATCTGGTGGGATTTCTGCCAAGTGTTCCCAGTGAGATTCTTGTGGTCTTCTCAAGAGGGCTGGGGCACATAGTTCAGTATCATCTTTGGGTTTTATTCACTTATCCAAAGACAAGTGGCTCACTTCCTGTTTTCTCTAAGTATTCAGTAGATTGGCTATAGATAAGGCTTTCCTCAGGCCTTTCAGTTAATGGACGGATGGAGTGTTCTTAAATTAATAAACACTTTAAACAAATAAAAAATGAAGGCCGTAATCACATATCTGCAGTTGGACCTTACTGATGTTTACATTTGTGCCCTGTTTTTGCTTTTAAAGAAGTTACTTACATGCTAAAGAAGAATTCCCACCAGGTGCTCCCCTGGGACCTTGTATGCCCACCAGCTAACTGCTGTTCTGCTGTTGGTAGTTTTATACTTTTAACAGGTATAAATATATAAACAGAGCAGCAGGGAGTCAGTGATTGTTACGTGGTAGAATTCTTGCCCTTGGTTCTGGAGTGCTGGGTTCAAGTCCTAGACAGTGCACCTCCGGTGTAGCCATCACCTGCCTGTCAGTAGAGGCATATATGTTGCTATGATGCTGAACAGATTTCAGGAGATTTCATTTCAGCTTCCAGATGAAAGAGGAGTAGGAAGAAAGACCTGGCCATCAACTTCAGAAAAATTAGTCAGTGAAAACCCTGTTTCCCGGTTGTCCACCCCATTATACATGGGGATCACCATGAATCAGGCTGACTTGACAGCAGCTACAAACAGTAGCACATAGTATAAGGCAATGTAACGAATTTTCAAGTCTGTTCACATTTCAACTGCTAGCTGGTTTGCAGTTGGTCAAATGAATAAACCACAGTGAGTTGGTGATCAGGTCACACCTCTCCTCTACTCAGCAGGGTTACTGATGGTGCTTGGTGAGCAGCCAATGTCTTTATTTTTTTTTTCTTACCCATTATCTTAAGCAGCATCTTCATCTCAGCCTGTTCACAATGAAACAAGTAAGCTTGGTCATTTGGGGTGTTACTTGGGGAAGATCATGGGCTTTGAAAACCATTCTCATGAGGATTCAAATCCCTGTTTAGTGCTGCCTTAGCTCTGTGACCTTTGTAAAGTTACATAATTTCCCTGATACTAGGTTTCTCCATCTACAGATATGTGGTGGCATCACAGTTGCTTGGTCTGAAAGAGATGATGTAGGGAAAGGTGGGCCAGGCCCATGATAGGTATTTGATAAGCATTAGTTCTGTGTTAGCATGGCACAGAGATGAGGTAAAACTGGTCCAGTGATGAAAGGGATATGCCTGCCGTGACTAAAGAAGGTTGTCTCATAGCTAGAACTGCTCTATCTGTAAACCGCATGTTAGCCCACAAAATGATGCTCAGCATCGCTAGTCATCAAACCATAAAGTCATCCCATTGCCATCCAGTCAGTTCCTACTCGTGGCAACTCCAGGTGCAAACTGATAGGGTTCTCTTGACTATAATCTCTGTAAATGTGGATTTCCAGGCCTTTCTTCTGTGCTACTACGAGGTGGGTTTGAACTGACACAGCTGTAGGCTAACAGCCAAGCACAAGCCCAGGGTGTCACCCAGGGACCTTCATCATTCCTGCTCACTGCCATTGAGCTCATCTGACTCATAGTGACCCAAAAGGACAAGTAAAACTGCTTGCTGCCTGGATTTTCTTTCTTTTTTAAAAATCATTTTATTGGGGGCTTGTACAACTCTTTATCACAATCCATCCATACATCCTTTGTGTCAAGCACATTTGTACTTTGTTGCCATCAACATTCTCAAAACATTTGCTTTCTACTTGAGCTCTTGGTATCCGCTCCTCATTTTTTCCCCTCCCTCACAAACCCTTGATAATTTATACATTTTTTTTTCATGTCTCACACTGTCCAACGTCTCCCTTCACCCACTTTTCTGTTGTCCATCTCCCAGGGAGGGGGTTATATGCAGATCACTGTAATTGGTTCCCCCTCTCTCCCCCCCCACCTTCCCCTTCCCTTCCTGGTATCACTACTCTCATTATTGGTCCTGAGAGGGCTGCCTGAATTTTCAGACTGTCGTCTTTTTGAAGGTAGACGACCATATCTTTCTTTCATGGAGCAGCTGGGGGGTTTGAATGGCCCACCTTTCAGTTAGCAGCCCCAGTTATTAACCCACCATATCATCGGACTCGCTGCCATCCAGTCAGTGCTGACTCATAGCCACCCTCCTGTGGTTTTCTGAAACTATTTGTGGAAGTAGAAAGCCCATTATTTCTCCCACAGTGCTGCCAGTGGTTCAAACTGCCGACCATGCGGATAGGAGACCAACTCGTAACCATTGTGTCACCGGGGCTCCTTTACCATATCCCTAGGGCTCAATTAGTACTCATTAAAACCTACAGTTCAAACTACTGACCTAGTAGTTAGCTGCCTAACATGTAACGGACTGTGCCACCAGGTCCCAGGGAATATAAATTAAAGCCACAATGAAATAGTACTTTATACCTATTAGAATGGCTACAATGTGAAAAGTCAACAATCTCAAGTATAGATGAGGCCCTGGAGCAGCTGGAACTTCCAGAAAGGAGCCTTGGTGGTGCAGTGGTTAAGTGCTGGAATGCTAACCGAAAGGTGGGCAGTGGGAAGGTAAAATGGTACAACCACTTGGAAAATGAACGCTTCCATGGTTTTTTAAAAAGTTAAGTCCATACCTACTATTCCACTATGAAATCTTAACTCACATCGTATGATGTAGTGTTACAAATTTTTTTGCCTTAAGATTGCTTAAGGTCATCCAACAGCAGTTGAAACAGTACATTGACAGGGAACTGCCAAAAGTTCAGGCCGGATTCAGAAGAGGATGTGGACCAACGGTGGTTATTGCTGATGTCGGATGAATCTTGGCTCAAAGCAGAGAATACCAGAAAGATATTTACTCGTATTTCATTGACTATGCAAAGGCATTGGACTGTGCGGATCATAATAAACTGTGGATAATCTGAAAAGAATGGGAATCCCAGAACAATTCATTGAGGCAGTTGTATGAACATAAAGGGAATATTGCATGGTTTAAAATCAGGAAAGGTATGCGTCAGGGTTGTATCCCCTCATCGTACTTAATCTGTGTGCTAAACAAATCATCCAGGAATCTGGATTATATGAAGAAGAACGTGGCATCAGGATTGAAGGAAGGTTTATTAAACCTGCGACGTGCAGATGCCACAGCCTTTCTTGCGGAGTGAGGAGGACTTGAAGCACTTACCATGGATAAGCTGAGTTTTTCAGCACATTTTTTTATTCAGTATTTTTGGTAAAATTAGGTGCCTCGGCTGATAATTCATGTCAGCTAATACTTGAGTTTATATAGTACTGATGAAGATCAAGGATTGTCGCCTTCAGTATGGATTATAACTCAATGTAAGGAAAACCAAATTCCTCACAACTGGACCAAATTCCTCACAACTGGTAACATCATGATAAATGGAGAAAAGGTTGAAGATGTCAAGGATTTTGTCTTGTTTGAATAAATCAATGTTCATGGAAAACAGCTGTTAAAAGATTAAAAAACATAATGCTTTAGATAAATGTGCTGCACAAGACCTCTGTTGAGTACTGAAGAACAAGAATGTTACAATTAGGAGTGGGGTGCACCGGGCCCAAGCCATGGTATTCGCCATTGCCCCATCGTCATGTAAAAGTTGGACATTGAATAAGGAAGACCGTAGAAGAATTGATGCATTTGAATTGTGGTGCTGGAGAAGAATATTGAAAGCACCATAGACTGCTAAAAGGACACACGGACCTGTATTTGAAGAAATAAGACCAGAGTGCTCCTCGGAGGCAGGGAAAGCAAGACTTCATCTTACATACTTTGCACATACTGTCAGGAGAGACCAGCCCCTGGAGAAAGGCATCAAGTTTGGTAAAGTGGAAGGGCAGCGAAAAGAGGAAGACCATCAACAAAATTGATTGACACAGTGGCTGCGACAGTGGGCTGAGGCACAGGCACAGGCAGGATGCGCAGGACTGTGTGCAGTGTTTCGTTCTGTTGTGCGGAGGGTCGCTGTGGGTCAGACCCAGCTTAATGGCACCCAGCAGCAGTCACGCTCCAGTATGAGTTGGAATCAGCTCAATGGCAGTGAGTTTGGTTTGGGTTGTTCTGCTCCAGAAGTGAGATCATCCAGAACCCTATCTGTAATGGTCTTAGCAAGTATTTTCTCTAAGCAGCAGTGAAGCAGTCAAGGTGTCTTCCCAGGAGAGAGGGTGAGCGGGCAGTAATGTATCTGCAAGATGCATAGATTCCCAAACTTCCTTGACCGACTAGCCCCTTTTCAGAAAAAAATTGAGGGGAGGGGGGGACGACCCACGGGGACACCGATCACACTGATCGAAATGTAACTGCCAGAGGGGGACGAACAACAGACACATGGGTGAAGGGAGACAGTGGCCAGTGTAAGATGAAAATAATGATTATAAATTATCAAGGGTTCATGGGGGAGGGAGGAGAAAAAAACTGAGGAGCTGATACCAAGGACTTAAACAGAAAATGTTTTGAAAAGGATGATGCAACATATGTACAAATGTGTTTGACACAGTGAGTGTGTGGATTGTTACAAGACCTGTAAGAGTCCCCAGTAAAATGATTAAGAACAGAAAAAAGTTGCCCATCGCCCTATTGGCAATGAGAAACAGCCCATGATCACGGATAAAGTGTATCTGCTTTTGCAGCTCCCACTCTGGGCCACTGTCACCCATTTTAGGGAACAGTGGTATAATGGATCTAGCTCATTAATAAAGATGTATAAACTATGCTTGCAACTATACAGGTGAATCTTAAAACAGTGATGCCGATGAGAGAAACCAGACAAACACACATACTATATAGGATATGTTCATGTGAAATTCCAGAAAATGCAGGCTAATCTCTAAAGGCAGAAAGCAGAATGGAGGTTGTCTGGGGATGAGGGAGGGTCAGGAAGAGGCAGGAGGTGGTTTCTGGGTGCAGTCGGTGGCTACGTTAGCCATCCTGAATGTGGTGAGGGTTTCATGGACATCTGTTGCACAGTTCATTGTAAACCAGTAATTTTAACACCCTAAATCTGGGGCAGTCATCGGCTTTTCCCTCGCTCTGCTCTTGGTAACTGCATTTCGGTGTTTGCACCATCGATGGCATGGCTGTGATCTGCAAATCAGATGTTCTTCCAGCTCTTGCAGAAGAGACAGAGCAAGTAGCTTGTAGGTGACAGGGCAGCGTGACCACTGCTCATGGAGTAAGTTAAACCCTTTTGAGAACAGTTAGCTCATTTCTAAAATTACCTAAAAATTCATATCCGAGGATTTAAAATGAAACCATGAGAGATGAAATTGGAGTGGAAATACATAAAATGCAAGGTGCACCATTGAAATTTCTACATCTGCTTCACAGTGATGTTGATTTCATTCTTGCACAATCATTTTTAAAAGCTTACAAGTCATATTTTTTAACAGTTTTATTGGCATTTCACCCACATATCACACAGTTCAGTAGTTCAATCATATCCAGAAGAGTTGTAATTCATTACCACAATCAATTTTAGCGTGTTTTTATCCCCCCTACCCCACCCTTAAATTGCTTTTTAAATGCCTCCTGTAATCGCCATCATTCTATTGTTCCCTCCCCCCTCCCACATACATTCTTTGCTCCCCCACCCCCCTCACCCCTCCTTATCCCTGCATGCCCTACAAACCCTTGCATCAGTTTTTATCTCTATGGATGTGCTCCTTTTATGCTTCACAAACTGTAAAACCCAACAGAAAAAGTGGTAAGAATAAAATAATACAGAGGTTAAAAATACAAATAATGAGTAAGAAAGAAAAGACCACTATGAATATTTAAGGGGGGGAGGGACAGAATTTGTCATGGATCAAGAGATCCATGAACCATGGAACATGCACCTAGAACAGTTTTAGGTTGGGTCAAGAGGGTGGTCAACTGACAAAGCATCAAGTTTAATCTAGTATAATCACAACTGGAATGATCTCTGATAGTAAAACTGAGACCCTTGTCTGTGGTTAGAGGGGATCTGCCAGCAGCTTAATCTGACTAGTTACTATGCAGATGGGTTTGCATATACTTCTATAAATTGAGTGTTTGCAAGTTAGACTCTGATACTTTCCCTTTTGTCATAATTGAATTTTGTTATTGTCATCTTGGGATCACAAGCTGGTGTCCATGTGGATTTAGTTGACAAGCTTAAAAGTCTTCAGTATTCAGCAGGAACGTGCATCTGCATGGTACGGCTTTGAAAAGTTGACTTAGGAGACCCAAACAGTGCATAGGGTTTTAAAAACCAACAGGGATGCTATTTAATGAATTGCCCATCAGTAGTAGGGTCTATTTATTAATTAAATTACTTAGCTGTGTGTGTTCTGAAAAACGAAGGCAACTTCGTTACTGTAGTATTTGATGTGTGGCTTTGGTATGTAATGCTCAAAGGAAAAGCAATGCTACCCCGCACTTCACATTTGTGTCCGTACTATTGTCTGTGCCGGGGTTGGAAAACTTTTGAGACAGAAGAGCCAATCCTGTCCCTCACAACAATTTAATAATTATTTGACAGCCGTAGATACATTTTTACAAACAAATGAAATCCCCCTATCTGAATGCTCTCCTTTAAAATCCTTCTAAATGAAACTATGGTAGTTTTATGTTCATTTTCAGTTATACTTCAGAGCAACATGACTGTACCAAAAGAGCCTCATGGTTCATGAGCCACAGTTTGCTGACCTCTGATCCATAGAAACATTGTTTAAGTGCTGCTTGGTCTCATGAAGGCTTGCATGTGTTCTCTTCCCAGGGCAATTGTTCTCCTACAAGTAAGCTTCAGCGTTTGCTGGCCGAGTCCCGTCAGATGGTGTCTGACCTGGAGCTGAGCACACTGCTGCCCCTCAGCTCCGAGAACCTCAGCAGCAGTGACCAAAACGTACGTACTTACTGCTCTGTGCCCCGCTTTGCAGTGTCAGAACACTCCCTGAGTTCTAGTGTGCAGACACTCTCAGCCTTTTGAAGTTGGGGGGTGGTCCCCTTGCTTTTTAGGCGAGGAAGAAGTTATCCTCAGATGCTACCTCTTATAGCTTCCTTTATAGTTCCTCTGTTTGAGGGCGCAGGCATCTACACTTGTTGTTGTTAGGTGCTTCTGAGTGGGTCCTGACTCCTGGTGACCCTGTCTGTGCACAGCAGGAAGAAAGACCCTCCAGCCTGCACCAGCCTCACCGTTGTTATGCTCGAGCCTGTCTCACTGAACTTGGGAAATTCAGGAGCTATTCATAGGGGAAAATACTTCATAGAGAATATGTGGGGTTTCCCGGGTGAGAAATGCCTCGGTCCTTGAGAAAGAATTCACGCCGAAGCCTGGTTTGTGATCCAAGTAGGTTTTTATGAAATATAGAAGCCGTTTCAGTCATTACAGTCAACAACTCACAGCACTGCCCACCCATGTGGCACCACTCGGAACCACGGAGGAGCAGCTGGAAAAGAGAGGGTGGTCTCCCAGTTCAGGCTTTTTTAGGGCCTTCTGCTGGGAGGTGTGGTCGACGGTGCTGGTTGAGCCCATTGGCTGAATTAAGCCCCCTTCCTGGCTTGGAGCCTGAATTTGGAGCATGCCCAGTCGACACCCTGGTCCCTGTTCTGGCTACCTAACAAATATTCATAGCATTATAAACATTTATTATAAAAAATTAAAAAGAATAGTCACCATCAATAGCCATCAACTTTTTGCCATTTTTATAAAATTTTCATTCCCCACCCCAACATTCTTTTCCCTGAAGCATTTATAGCAAATCCCACGTGGGGGATTATTTCACTCAAAAAAGCTTCCTTTTGTATACAAATAAAGACTGTGTATATGTGCTGCATGCATGTAAAAATGTATGCAACAAAATATACATTGTTTCAACAGTTTGTGTATTTCCAGTGCAGAGACATTGGTTACATTCAACTGTTCTCACTGTCCTTTTCCAAACCATTCTACCATCATTAGCATAAACTCAGTAGCCAATAAGCTGAAACTCTATTTGATCAGGACTTTTTAAAAAGCAACCATTGTCATACCCAACAAAATTCACCATAACTCCTTCATGTCACCTAACAGCTGATCCGCGTTCCGTTTTCCGCAGTCATCTCAAAGCTGGCGTTGTGTAATTTGTTCAAGTCAGGATCCACCCAGGCGCCATACTTTGTATTTGATCATGGCTATAGTTCCCCATCTATCTTCTTTAAAAATGTAATTTGTTTGTGGATGAGACACTGAGTCTTTTGTCCTGTAGAATTTTCCACATCCTGGATTTGGCTGATCCTGGCCTCCTCGCCCTTTCCACGTTCTTGCAGGCCCTGTAATCCCTCTCAGCTGGTACTCAGAGCTGGGGGCTCTGTTACAGTCAGGATTGCTGTGGGGTTTGGGCACGTCTTCTTCATTGTCTGCTTCCTGGTCTGTTGTATCAGGCGGTTCATAAGGTCTGTTCCACTTGTAAATGTTAGTTTGATCACTGAGTTCAGGGGGTTGTCAGCATGACCTTTTTTATGATAAAATTCCCTTCATGATTTTAGTATTCCTTGGTGAGTATTGTTTACATCCATCGTTGCATTGTTGCTGCTCTTCCTGCCAACCCATGTGACACAGTCGAATGGCCTGTGGGGTTTTCTAGGCTTCGTGGGAGCCAATCACCCGGTCTTTTCTCCTGTGGAGCCACTATTGGGCTCCACCTCCCGACCTTCTGTTCAGCTGCTGAGCACTCAGCCTTGCCTCTCTCTACCAGGGCTCCAAATGCTTTCATTAGGAATGGCAAATTCTCTATTGGCACAAAGGCATTCCTTCAGGTAGTCTTTCACAGGTTAGCAGGCTCTTCTAGCACCGTGACGCTGCAATAGCAGTGACGTTTTCTTGCTTTGCAGGTTTTGTGTCATCAACGTACATAGTGAAAAGCCTGTTGGACTTGGAATCAGGAAACTGCCACTTGGATGGCAGTTACCTGCGCTATAAAACCAGAGCTTGGGTGTGTTGCTTAGGCTTTCTGAGTCTCCTAGGCCTGTTACCTGGGGATACTCCCTGCATAAAGATAATCAAAAGCTATTGAGTTAAAACTTTGACATATCCCTTACCACAAGTGTAGTATCTGTTCTTATCAGTTTAGTATCTGATATGCCCCCTATCCGAGGAGAGTATATTAAATGGATCTTTGGGATTAGGAGATGGAATAGGAGCTTGCTCCGTCCACTCCACACATTGCAGTACCTCCACGAACGGTGCACTAAAAAAAAAAGGTCTGTAAGAACACTGAAACGCTTTTCTTTAAAAAATACTGAGTATCAAAAGATGAAGTATAACATCTATACAACAAAATCTGGTTCACTAAGTTCAGATATAATATACACACATGTAACCAGCGTGAAAATATAGCGCATTTCCCTTGCCCCAGAATTCTCCTTCATTAAAGTGAATCTACTTAGTGCATGTGCTTGCACACACAACCACCACCCCACCATCCCACCCCGAAAGCACTGATCTGATTTTTACCACTGGAGATTACTTGGGACAGTTGGTTTTCTCCCTTAACATTGTTTTTCTTCAGCTTGTAGTCTTTACATATAGGTTTTGGGAGAAAAGGGAGAGTGGCAGTATTAAATCCAGGTGGGGAAGGTAGATCCTTTCAGGCTTCGTGTGACTGGTACCTGACCACACATCTCTCTCTGGTCCTCAGACTCTCAGCCACCCACTTGGCCTCTTGACCTCTGCCCTGCTCAACAAGTGATCCAGAGGTCCTTTAGCACTGCTAAATGCCCAAAGGGCAGCCTGACAGCACTCAGCTGTACTTGTTGTGTGGGCTGGGAAGCCCCCTGCTCCATCTCATGGTCTGTGTGCTGCAGCAGCCACATCACACATGGGCCTTCCACCTGCTCCACTCATGGCTCTTCTTTCTTAATGGCCATGGACATCTCTGTTCCTTCTGCCAGGAGAATTCACTTCATACACAGTGGAACCGTTCGGTCCCCACATGTGGGAGTTAACAACCATAGCTAGAAGAGTCATGATGACTTCCCTGCAGACATGCTCGTCTTTCTTGGTGGTATTAGGCCCCTTTGGTCCCTCCTCAGAGGAGCCCGCTGGAATAGTGGTTACTCCTGGGTCTGCTGAGTGCAAGGTCAGTAAGCAGTTCAAGATCACCAGCTGAGAAAGACGGGGCTTTCAACTCCTAATGAGCTAGTCTTGGAAACTCAAGAGAGTAAAGTTCTACCCCATCCTACAGGGTTGATACAAGTCAACATGGACTCCATGGTAGTGAGGTTTGTTTTGTTTTGTTTTGTTTTTAATCTCCTCACTTTTTTTTTGCTTTTCATATCTCAGGGGAGATTAACTCAAGATACAGTGACTTCTGTAGATTTCATTTTACCTCATTAACATAACTGGCTTATCATCATCATAAGGTGAGAATTTCCAGCACATAGATAATTAACATCAGATTATAGGAGAGAGTAATTGAATAAGACTACGAGCCATAGGTTAGCCAAGTTGACTCGTATTTTTGTGGAGGACACAATCCATAGGCAACCCTGAATGAGCACACCCAACATTCTGCAACACTGGCCTTCGCCACATGCCCAGGCAGGTAGTTGCCAAAGGTTACCTTAGCGAATGATTGGCTCTCAAAATTAGCCTGCCATATGTTCCTAATAGACGCTCTCCAGAGGTGAAACCCCAATGGCCTGGTGATGTTTCCTATGGTGATTTCTCCTGACACACCCTCTCTTGGGGCATTAGTGGGAGTGTTTACGGATTGGGGGCCGGGGGTGTTGGGAGGAAAGAGCGCTTAGTGGTACAGTGAGTTAAGCATCAGGCTGGTAACCACCAGGTCAGTGGTTGAAATCCAGCAGTGCCTCCACAGGAGAACAGTGCTCCCTTACAGAAGGCGACCGGGGAACGCCCAGGAGCAGTTCTGTGCTGTCCTACAGACACAGCTCCGTGGCAGGGGCTTGGGTCGTTTGGGCTGGAGGCGGAGGAGCCTGCTCAGTGATAAAACTCTTAGATTGCTTTGTTGTCCCGTTTTCGAGGGAAAACTCAAGCAGACAATCAGTACTTTTTCTAGCCATTTCCAGATAGAGACTTTAAAAATCCATATATTTCTCTTATTGAGATACCATTCACATACCATAAAATTCACCCTTTAAAAGCATAAATTCAGTGACTTTTAGGATATTACTGGGATTGTGTAACCACCACCGTTAACTAATTACAGAATGTTATCAATCCTTCTCCTGCTCCTCCCCCCAAACAAACCAACAAACTGTGTATCCAGCACAACATTAAATAGGAGTGATGATATAGGGCCTCCTTGTCTGGTTCTGTTCCCAAAGGAAATGCCTCCAATTTATGTTGAGACTAATATTGCTACTGGCTTTGTATATATGCCCTTCATTTTGTTGGGTCGTTTTCTATTAGTATTTTGAGAGTTCTTAACAGGGATAAGTGTTGAATTTTATCTACCTTTTCTGCATTGACCGATATGGTCATACAATTATTTTGTTTTATTTTTATGTTTTTCTATTGTTGACTATCCTTGTATAGTTGGTATGAACCTTAATCTGATCGTGATGCATCTATCAGTTGAAGTTTGTTGGGAATTTTTGCCTTGTGTTCATGATATTTGGCTATGATTTTCTTTTCTAGTGTGATGACTTTGCTTGTTTGTGGGATCAGGTATATTCTTCATAAAATGAATTCAGGCATTTTCTGTCCTTTTCGATATTCTGTAGTAGTGAACTTGGTGTCAGCTCTTCTGTCAATGCTTGCTAAAATTCAACAATAAAACTGTCGGGTGTCAACTTTTAAAATAACTTGATGGATTCTTTTTTTATGGGTCAGTTCAAATCTTCTACTTCAATACATGTTGGTTTAGGTAGGTAGTGTGTTCCCAGAAGTCTGTCCATTTC